CTTTTTCTTTTTGCTTATGTGGTGCTGAGGAATCGAACCCAGGGCCTCAGGCATGTAAGGCAAGAGAACTCTGGGCCTGGGCGCTGTCCCTCAGCTCTTCAGCTCAAGGCTAGCACTCTACCACTTGAGCTACAGTGCCTCTTCCAGCTTTTTCTTTTTGCTTATGTGGTGCTGAGGAATCGAACCCAGGGCCTCAAGCATGCAAGGCAAGCGCTCTACCACTGAGCCACCTTCCCAGCCCCTGATCTGTTGTTTGAAGCCATCGAGTTTGGGATCATTTGTTATGACAACCACAGGAAAATAACACAGGAACCAATACCTAAGTCTGGCCCTATGAGATCCTGCTGACAACACTATCATACTCAGCCCACTATATTTTTACCAGTCCTGAGGCCCTAGACCCTGCTCCTATCGTTTTGGCACTCACAAACTCTGAACCTAGCTTGAGGGACACCCCCATCACCACCACAACACCTCTCTGACAATTGTTCCCCATCTATGAGCTCTCAGGCTACTTATTTTTAGCCCCTGATTCTACTGGCCTTATATGGCTCTCTGTTCCTCTCCTGTGCATAAACTCCCCCCTCTCCTGGTTTGTAAGCTCTTTGAGGACAGAGAATCCCAAGGATATTAACAGTACTAAGAAGGATCTTGATTGTTCATGTCTGAAACATTTCTGGAATATTTCTGGAAGCGGAGGGCAGCGGTAGCATACGTTCAATGTAAGAACCCACCACTGTTGTTATAATCCTTTTTTTGTTGTTGGTCATAGGACTTGAACTCTGGGCGTGGGCACTGCCCCTGAGCGCTTTAGCTCAAGGTGAGCGTTCTACCACTTGAGCCACAGCGCCACTTCCAGTTTTCTAGTGGTTTATTGGACATAAGAGTCTCGCAGACTTTCCTGCCCGGGCTGGCTCTGAACCGCAATCCTCAGATCTCAGCCTCCTGGGTAGCTAGGATTACAGGCGTGAGCCACTGGTGCCCGGCTCTTCATAGTCCTTTTAAACTTAAAAAGTACCTCCAGAGAGTATTTTAAGCATCTGATAGCCATTTTCCTATTTTAGTCACATGACAGCCCCATTCTGTAAGTAGGCAAGTATTAATATCCCCACTTTACAGACAGGAGAACCAGGCACAGAGACCATAAAGGGTCTTGGTGGCTTATTGTACCTTGAAGCTCCATCAATTCAAAAAGGAAATGAAGACAGGAGGCAGGGGGGAGAAGGGGGACCACCGCGGGACTTCTAATTCCATCACCATTTGTCCCCAGGCTTGCTCCATTCATCTCTACCTGGCCAGGGTAAGTGCGAGATCCTTTCTGAACTTTTCTAGACCCTCTCCCAGGTTCCAGAGAGCACTTCTGGTCTCTCAATCTTCTTGGGTAGGTAACAGTCATCTTCCCCCTAACACTTGGAATAAAGGTAGGAGGGAAAAGTGAGTCACCAACAAACTGGCTAGCGTCTCATGGCAGATGCAGGCATGAAGGGAGGTAAAGCCATCACAAAGGAAATGTGCATGGCTTTGCCAAGCCTTCACCTATTGCCATCTAGGGAAAATTCCATGAGACAACTGAGCAGCCTAACCTCATGGCCTCTTGGAAGAGGATCAGGGGCTGCAGTTTTGGCAGTGACCTGTTAGGGGAAGGAGGGAGGAAAGGAGAGGGCTCCCAAACCCCAGGGCTCTCCTCTGGCTTGGTTCTGGGCTGAGCTCCCAGCTCTACCCACTTCCTGCGAACACAGAACTCCAGGCTAGGCTTTGCTTGCACCTGTTTGAGCTCAGAGTGCAGTCAGTCCCTGCTCTAGAAGGATCCAAAAATATCTAGGAGGGAGGAGAAGAGGGAAGAGTGAGCCAGAAAGGGAACAACTAGGGAGACAGCCACTTGGATCGGCGTTCAAGGCCCCAACCCATCGGGGTGGCCTTATCTCCCCTGAACATGAGCCTCAACATTCTAGCCAAAGCTGTTCTCATCCCTCCCCTGCCAGAGCGGTGCTCTGGACTCCCCCATACCCGGCTCTCAGGACCATCTTCCCATGTCTCTGCCTACACAAATCATCTGCTCATTCATTAGACATTGTTAAATGCCCTCCAGTCAGGCAACCACCATTCTAAGTGTTTGTGAATCCTGTACCACAGCGTTCCTTATTTGAAGGAAATCCGTTCTAAGCCCCCAGTAGAAGCTTGAAATCACAGATAAGGCGACAGATACTGTATTTTTTCCCTGCTCATACATGCCTATAATAGAGTTTTAATTTATAAGTTAGGCACAGTAAGAGATGGACAAAATAATAATAATATAAAACAGCCAGGCGCCGGTGGCTCACCTATAATCCTAGCTACTCAGGAGGCTGAGATCTGAGAATCGGGGTTCAAAGCCAGCCCAGGCAGGAAAATCTGTGAGAGTCTGATCTCCAATGAACCACCAGAAAACCAGAAGTGGCGCTGTGGCTAGAGCGCTTACCTTGAGTTGAAGAGCTGAGGCACAGCGCCCAGGCCCAGAGTTCAAGCCCCATGACTTACTATATATATACACATACATACATATATATAACATATATATACATATGTATATATAGTTATATATAACAATTATAGCATATATAATACATAATTGTTATATATATATATAAAACAATTGTAACAGCTTATCACAGAAATGTTACTTAAACTTATGAACTACTTCTCAAATTTCCCATTTCATATTTTCAGACCCTGGCTGATCACAGATCGACCCACAGATAAGGCAACCCCACAAACAAGGGGAAAGACCACCTTTCCTACCACATGAGGGAGCGCACAAGCACGGTCCTCTGTCCTCTCAGAGTTGGCTGTCCAGTGATCATCCCTTCCTGCAGGAGCCAATGACGCTCCGGCCCTCCACGGAGCCCGACCTTCCCAGCTATCCTCTGAACTCCAACCGAGCTTAGGCTGCAGGGGGTGTTAGTTACATTTTTTATCAGTGCAAGTCATTTCTCCAAATAGAAGGTCAGCTCCCGGGAGGCAGAGACACAACCCATTCCTGCCGGGAACTTGCAGGGCTGACAAGGATCTGAGAGCTGGGCCTCTCTCGCCCACCTCTCATGTCAAATGCCCCACTCCTGCCTGCTCCAGCTCCCACAGCACCCACACTCTCAGCATCACACTCTCCTTTTTTCTTGTCGGTTGTGGGGCTTGAACTCTGGGCCTGGACGCTGTCCCTCAGCTCTTCAGAACAAGGCAAATGCTCTACCATTTAAACCACAGCGCCACTTCCGGTTTTCTGGTGGTTCACTGGGGATCAGAGTCTCACAGGCTTTCCTTGCCCGGGCTGGCTTTGAACCATGATCCTTAGACCTTAGCCTCTTGAGTAGCTAGGATGACAGGCGTGAACCATCGGTGCCCAGCTACACCCTCCATTTCTTTCTGATCACTTTCTAATTCCTCGCTCTTACCTGAGTCTACCCTGCTTTTCCTGACTGATGGGTAGGCTCCCAAAGAAAGACCTTACCTCATTTTCCAGCACTGAGGACTGGCCCACAGCCCACGATCACTTGGTGTCCCACATACTCCGAACTGAGGATAGAGACGAGAGCTCTCAACACTACAGAGAAGGACTCATGGAGAAAAGTCCCTTCCTATTATCTAACATGCTGGCAGTGAGCTTGTGAGCCCACCCCAGCTGGCCTAACAGTCCACCCAGAGCTCTCCAGAACCGCATATAGCAACGGCCACCCTGCTTTCCCATCGTCCCCATCACCCCATCTCAGGAAACGCAGGTTCCTGGAACCAGCTATAATCCCAGATGCCTGGAGGTACAGGAAGGACGGAGAGGTTGAGGCCAGCCAAGGCAAAGTGAGTAAGACCCTAGGCCTCTGGGCTGGTGCGCACAGACACGGGCATGGAGGGCTCAGGTGCCCTCAGAGTCCAGCCTTGGGGCAACTCAAGGAGGCTCCTCTCCATGCAGCTGGGAGAGGACTGCAGTAAAAGGACCCTAACCAGGGGCTGGGAAGGTGGCTCAGTGGTAAAGCGCTTTCCTTGCATTCATGAGGCCCTGGGTTCGATTCCTCAGCACCACATAAGCAGAAGAGGCCAGAAGTGGCACTGTGGCTCAAGTGGTAGAGCGCTAGCCTTGAGCTGAGGAGCAGAGGGACAGCGCCCAGGCCCAGAGTCCAGGCCCCATGAACAACAACAAAAAAAAAAGGACCCAAACCAGGAAGTATTATTCCCAGTCATTTAGGCACCTTAATTCCGATTATATTTTGACATAATCCTGCCTATTACCTAATTAGCGACAGCTTGACCATTAATTAAATTTAACGTATGACTGAGTTTACTTCTGATTTCATTCTAGCACTTTAATTCTGATTCTCCACCTCTAAGCCTCCCCCACCTCACAACTGAGCTGCCCTGGAAAGGCTTCTCTGGGTAGCCATTCAAATGACATGATGAGTGGTGGGTGTGTCCCCGGGGTGAAGGGGCCTGTGGGCACCCTGACTGAGTAAAGCCGCTTGGGACTGGGGAGGGAGGAGGCCTACACCAAATGGGACAAGACTTCCTAATGCTGGAGAAACACCACAGGACAAGCCAAAGCGGATAGGAAGGAGATCCTTTCCAGAAGCAGCTACATCTGACTCATCCCGGTCCCTCAATTATCCAAGTCCACTGCTTTCACCTGCTGAACACAGCACACTGGGAGGGGCACAGTGGATACCCAGTTTGTCAGCTCTACAGCTGGGCTTGCCGTGGTTCCAATTCATTCATTCATTCACTTATTCACTCACTCACCCATTCAGCATCAGGAAGAAGGAAGCCACACCCTATGACTCAGCCCCTTTGCACTCAGAACCAATGCACTATCTATTGCCTCCATGTTGTGATCAAGGGGCTCAGTGAGAACCTGCTCACCAAAGCAATGGGAAATTCCATCTTAGAGATACATCCCTGGAACTCCGGCCTTATAGATGAAGTCTGCCCAAGCTGTTGCGCCCTTGCCCTCCACTGGGGTGAGGACAGCCCAGCCTCACTGTGGATCATGGCAGCGGAAGCAAAAGATAGAGCCGATGTCAGCATCAGGATGGGGAAGCGAGCACCGCACAGGGTGAGTGCAGTTGGAAGACAGCTCCGGTTCTGACGCCCACCTGAGAAGGCAGGTGAAGACAGGGCCAGGGTTTCCAAGGAGCCTGGACTCCCAGAGAAGATGCAAGAACACAAGCACACCCGTCAATCATTCCTCTCATCTGTGCCCCTCTGTATCAAGTGCTCCCTCTTATTAAGATTAAAAGCCTCACAAATAGGAAAACACTACAGGGAGGCCTGAGCCACAGGGAAGAATGAGAACAAGATCATCACCCAGGTAACTTGAGCCATATGCATCCTATGACAACATCCACTTATAGAAAAGCTAAACTAAGCCGGGCGCTGGTGGCTCACGCCTGTAATCCTAGCTACTCAGGAGGCTGAGATCTGAGGATCGCGGTTCAAAGCCAGCCCGGGCAGGAAAGACTGTGAGACTTCTATCTCCAATAAACCACCAGAAAACAAGAAGTGGCGCTGTATCAAGTGGTAGAGCGCTCGCCTTGAGCTGAAGGGCTGAGGGACAGCGCCCAGGCCCAGAGTTCAAGCCCCACGGCTGGCCAAAAAAAAAAACAGAAAAGCTAAACTAAGCTGGGCACCAGTGGCTCACGCCTGTCATCCTAGCTACTCAGGAGGCTGAGATCTGAGGACCAGGGTTCAAAGCCAGCCAGAGCAAGAAAGTCTGTAATACTCTTATCTCCAATTAATGATCAGAAAAACTAAATCTCCTTCTAGGGCTGGAGGAACAGCTCAAGTAATAAAGTTGTCCTGAGTTCATACCCCAGTTCCAGAAGAATAAAACCAACTAATTCTAATGAGGGCAAAACATGGGCTTCTCCTAAAGTAAACTCAATAGGTATTTTCTGAATGTAGACCTTCGGTAGATTGGGGTAAGCTCAGGGCACTGTGGCTGGAGTTGGCAGGCTCACCAACATTCACTGAAATGAAAACACTGCCTCATGACTTCTCCTCCAGCCTCTACTTTCAGCTGCCACCTAGTTCTTCCCCAGCAGTGGAGACCAGGATCTAGGCTTGGCTTCCACACCATGAACTCCGGCAACCAGGCTCCCTTAATACCCCACAGAGCTCTTACAATATTAGATTGCTTCCTCCCCACTGTGACCTTCCATGCCCTCTACAGCAATTCCCCCATAGAGAAAACTGGCTGCCATGGAGTCACCGGGCCTGGCTCTAACCCTGGTGTCCACCTGCGGGCTCCTCAGAGCTCATCAGAGCCATGTTATGTGCCCCGTCAGACCTTCTTTAGACCTCTTCTGCCCTCTCAGAGCACCCCAGACTTTGCCATATTCCATCTCTCTCCCCTCTCCCCTTGCCAGTCTTTTCTCCTGCACAGAATCCTTCCCCACTGGCCCATAAACAGGCTTAGCCTTCTTTAGGCTTGAATTTAAAAAAAAAAAAATGTCCACTTTTTTTTTTGTCAGTCTTGGGGCTTGAACTCAGGGCCTCTGGGGGCCTCCCCAAGCCTCTCTGGCTCAAGGCCAGCACTCTACCACTTGAGCCACAGCACTGATTCTGGTCTTTTCTGTGTATGTGGTACTGAGGACTGAAACTCGGGGCTACATGCATGCTAGCAAGCACTCTACCACTACGCCACCTTCCCAGCCCTATGTCTCCACTTTTGTAAACCCTTCCACCACACATGTGTTACTGGCGTCTGACTCTGGACAATTCCATTTGGGTGTCTGCATCTAAAACTGTGAGCTGTGTGCTCACCAGATTCTCTCACAGCCCATCAGTGACTTCCGGGTTGGTAAAATCTGCCTCTCTGTGATACTGAATCCCACTGACCACCCCTCCAAAAGACACCCCTTCCCTGGCTCCAGGCCACCATCTCTCCTTGGGTCCCCTCCATCTCTCTGAAGCTCATTTATTATCTCCTTCCTACTCTGCAAGCCCACTATTCTCCTCTCCTCCCTCTCCTCCCTCTCCTCTTTTCTCCTTCTCTCTTTCTCCTCCTCTCTCTCCGCAATGGCTTCCTCAATACCAGCCTCTTTCATCTTTACATAAATGAATATAAATTATCCCATTTCTAGATTCTCCTAGGTTCCATCCTACTTTTTTTCTTTCTAACACATGGTCTTGAATATAGCCCAAGCTGGCCTCAAACTTGTGATCCTCCTGTCTCGGCCTCCTAAGTGTTGGAATGACAGGCATGTACCACCATGCCCAACCAATGCTACCATTCAAACCACTGTGAGCTTCCCATCCAGATGTCCATGGGCACTGACATGCCTAATGACTCAAACTGCACTTTCAGAGCTGGGCGCTGGTGGCTCACGCCTATCATCCTAGCTACTCAGGAGGCTGAGATCTGAAGATCACGGTTCAAAGCCAGCCCTGGCAGGAAAGTCCATGAGACTCTTATCTCCAATAAACCACTAGAAAACCTCAAGTGGCACTGTGGCTTGAATGGTAGAGCACTCGCCGTGAGCTGAAGAGCACAGGGAGAATGCCCAAGCCCAGAGTTCAAGCCCCACGACCGACAAACAACAACAACAACAACAACAAAACCCTGCACTTTTAGAATGTGCTCCCCCTCACACTCCCAGTGAGTTGTTTTTTTGTTAGTTTGTCTTTTTCTGGCAAGACTGTTCCTCCAATGACCTAAAGGAAACGCATTAGGACTCTGTTCTCCTGGCTCTCCAGGTTGAGAAGTCCGGTTGATCTGACCCCGCTCTCCGATGAAACTACCCCATTTCCCTACTTCCCTGCTTCACCAGAGTCGACATCCTCCTACTTACATTCCTGACGTGGCTGACTAATCTATTCCCCCTCATTCTTCTTCCTCCAACACCACCAGATGCAGTTTTCCTAAATTCCTCCACGATCACCCCCTGCCCAGACTATCGCTCAGGACCCCTCACGCCAACCTGGTGTCCAGAATGCACTTCCCGGTGCCCCCACTCCCACGTGCCCACCCTCAGCCGAGAGCGAAGCAAGGTTCTTCCGAGCCCCATCCTCTGACTCTGTTCCCTTTATGTGGAATTGACTCCCTTCCCGCCATCTTCCATTGACAATCCTGCTTTCCTTGAGACCCTGTGCAGTGTTCCTCATCCTAAAACACTTCCTTATCTACTCAGCTCAAGACAGCCTCCCTGCTTCCTGTGGCTCCTCAATTTCCTGATCCTCATCTATGACACTGATGCGTATCTTTCTGGCACAGGTATAGTACAGGAGGAAGATGCTTCTTCCTCTCTACTGAACTACAAGCATGCCAAGGACAGAATGCCTACCCAAATTCCTTAGTATCACCCCTGTGAAAACCAGCAAGTTCAAGAACTAACGCAAGTGGGCAGGGTGTTTGAATGAAGGGCTTGGTGTCCTTGAGTAACTGTATACCTAAGGCCTGCACAGAGCAGACTGGCAGATAAAGGAGAGAAATCTCTGTCTGGCCTGCCATGGAGCAGCTCTTTGACCTTCCTAGTAACAACTTGAGATGGGACAAAACCAGCATTTCCCAAATTATGGCCCCCTAGGCCACCAAGCAAGTGTGGCAAGCTACAAGTGCGGGATACAGCTTAAGCAGCTGGAAATGCTTCTAGGCTCTGCTCTTTCCTGGGCAGAGACCTGTGAGCCCATTTCCTTCCCTCTGCACCTCCCAGGGTGGAAGGCGGCAGTGGGAGGCTGGGAGGAGGCCTTCTTCTGGATACACCAGCAGGGGGGGCGGGGGGGGGTGAAGAGCTTCCTGACAGTCACTTGTGCCTTAGCCGGGCACTTCCAGTATGCACCAAGCCTCCGCCATGAAGATGACAGCACGGTAGCAGAGCAGATTGGCAAGTCTGCAGGCCAGGGCTGGGCTGGATATGGAGGAAGATGAAGAATGAATGAACACAGAATTCCCAGGTCCCCAATCTCTCTACATCAAGCAATAGGAGGGACAATGGGAAGCAAAGCCAAACCAGCCTTTGGCAGTCACTCCAATGGTTTAACCCCAAAGAACGCTTTCTCAGCATGCTACCTTCTCACCCCCAGACTCTAGGGAGTCAGAGGATCAAAAACATCGAAAACATCTGGGGAGAGAATGGTGCCACTGGGAGTACATCTGTCACTGGCAAGAATGGGTGCTTTCATTTCTCTGGCTTCCCAGTTCTTCCTGGAAAATCAGACTGATGGAATCGTCTCCAGGACTCTCTCCCTGTCCTTGAGCAGACCTGCCACCATGCCAGCTCCTCAGACCACGGAGAGGAGCCCAGGTAATCACAAAGGACTGAGGGCACCAGGCCTGGGATACTGACACGTCTGGTAACAGTGCCCACGCAGGTCCCTGGCACTGGTCCCAGTGACTAGAGACCAGAAGGGAAAGGGTACCTGGTCTCCTGGCAGGGAGAAGTAATAATGGGCTGCACAGCTCATCCCCTGGTCTAGAGGGAACCTGGAAGCAAAGTGGAGAGAAAAGAAAGAGAAGAGAAGCAGACGGTGCAGGCTTGGAGAGAACTTTTGTTCTATCCAACCAAGGGCAAGCAAAGTGGAGTGGAGTGGGTGGAGTGAAGTGGAGAGAAGACATGACCTATGACCAGGCTGGCAGAGGTTGCCACACACTAGGAAAGAATGCCATTATGGGAGTGAAGGAAAGCTACTTGAAACCACTCAGGGTGCAGGAGGAAGCCATCTTTGTACGTACAACCTGCAACTGGACAGAGTAGCCCTAAGTTTGGGTGGGAACAAGGAGGAAGGCAAGCTTGCTCAGCGGTGGACAGGCAGAGGGAACAAGCGCTCAGGACTTGGCCCCAAAAGGAAGCAGCTCAGAGGAAACGCGCATATGTGTGTGCACGCGCACAGGTACACACGTGTACACACTCACACACACACACACACACACACGCCTCTTCTCCCCACAGCAAAAGTCCCAACACAGCCTGTGGAACGGTCTAGATGTCATTTTTTTCAGCAGGAGGAAAGATAAAGGATGTCCCTAAAAGGCTAAAAATTCCTGGGGCCCTGCCGTGTGGAAGCTCAAGGTGGCAGCTGGGCTGGGCCCAGCAGAGGGGGCTGGGGAGAGGGTGGCCATGGCTTGGGCCTCAGGATCCAATTACGTGGCTGTTTCCATACTTAGCCACCTGACAGCCGCTTGGAATACTCACCACCCCACCACCGCAGCCCCACAGGGACCAAATTAACTCCAAGGGCAGACAAGGGCAGGACCCGGCAGCACATGCTCAGGAGAAAGAACCTCAAAGACCCACAAGATGGGGCCCCCACGGTCCCAGGCACAAGGACTAAGGGCTGATGGAGAAAACAAAGCAGGGAATCATAGATTCCTAGGGGGATCCCGGAGCACCTCCATGAAGCATCCCCAAGGGGAAGCCAGGTCCAGGAGTCTTAGGAACAAGAGAGGTGGCTAAATGATCGGGTGTCCCCTCCGCAACCTATAAATAGCCCCCGGGCTGCAACTCAAGCCAGCGCCTCTGCCACGCAAAGTGCTGAGGTATCAAAGAGAAGCCAGGGAGCACAGAGCCGAGCCCCCTCCCTGGTGACAGCCCCTCCTGCGGTCTCTTCCCCCCAAAATGGGGCCCATTCTTCTTTGGACTCTGGGTCTCATTCTGTTCCCAGCCCATCTCCCAACTCTCAACGCAGTTCAACCATATCCCAACAGACTCCAACACTAGCCCGCTGCTCACCCAGCGAGGCCCAGCCGTGCCCAGTGCCCCCCTTTATGCTCAGTCATGCAAACCCAAGTCTCCAGCTAGAGCCTCCACCCCAATCTCCCACTGGATGGAAGAGTGAGTCAAATGACCTCCGGCTCTGGGTTACTCTGTCCATCTCAGAGGCTACTCCACACTTAACTTTTAGGGGTACTCATCCCCAGCGTCTGCCAGCCACATTCTGCTCTCTGCCTGTGGCCCAGGCCTCAGGTCCATCTGCCTCTTGGGAGCCCCAATCCTGGCCCCATTATCTCCAGTACCTCACTCTCCCCATGGCCCGGCCCAAGAGAGGTGACAAGTGACACCAGCAAAGAACAAAGCTTTGCCATCCGCCCCAGTCCCCCACCCGTGAGATCTCATGGGAGCAGAGGACACAGTGGGGGCCACTCATGGGGGGGCGGGGAGGCATACCTGCTTGTGTTGAGAGCAGGAGCGAGGCCAGGAAGCAGCAGAGCAGGAGCAGCGCCCTCATGGTGACTGCCAAGAGAGCCCAGCTGCTCCTCGCCTCTATTTATACGGTGGGTGCAGGCGGCCGCAGCAGCAGGCGGTGGAGGGCGGGGGAGAAGGGTCACACAGTCACTAGGGCAACAGAGTGGACGTGATGGGGAAGAGGCCCAGACCCCAAGGCTGCCTCTGGTACCATCCCACAGCAAGGTAGGACCCAGGGCTGCATTTTCTGCCCTGCCCCCCAGCAGCTCCGGGATCACAAGATGCAGGTCTGATAGGACAAGAATATCGGGAAGTGGCGCCTGTGGCTCAAGTGGTAGAGCGCTTGCCTTGAGCTGAAGAGCTGAGGGACAGCGCCCAGGCCCAGAGTTCAGGCCCCACGACTGGCCAAAAAAAAAAAAAAGAATATGGAGAGAAAGTGGGGTGTCTCTTGGGCTGAGGTCCGGGAGTTAGGAATATAAATGCTCCCACAATATACATACACAGGCTTGACCCAAAGTCGGGGCAGGTCAGGGACCCGGACATTCCTCCAAATGAAAGAAGCTGAAGGGCAAATCCAGACAGATCCTGTTGTGTATGTGCATGTGTGTGTATGCACACACATGCACACACACATGTACACATGCACATGCACACATATGCACACGCATGTGTACATTTGGATTCATATTCACTGGATTTTTTTTTTGCCAGTCCTGGGGCTTGAACTCAGGGCCTGAGCACTGTCCCTGGACTTCTTTTTTACTCAAGGCTAGTACCCTACCATTTGAGCCACAGCGCCACTTCTGGCTTTTACTGTTTATGTAGTATTGAGGAATCGAACCCAGGGCTTCATGCATGCTAGGCAAGCACTCTACCACTAAGCCACATTCCCAGCCTCACTGGGCTTTCTTGCAAATGTCCAGTTAAGGGAAACCTGTGCTATCTGACCTTTGAGGCCAATGGCTGGGAACTAACCCTCCCAGGCCTCTGTGGAGAGAGTGCTGAGCAGAGGGAAAAAGAGGGCGGGGAGAGATGCAGCTGAAAGACATGGTATAAACCAGAGATGGAACAACAGAGATCCACTCCCGAGGAGCAGCGGGTCCAGAACGCCTAGCTGCCTCTGTGTGGCGCTGTTTGGTGCAATGTTTGGGGCACATGGTGGCCAGAAAAGCCATTTGTTGGAAGCCAAGAGACAGCAGGCACTGTCACCATGAGGGCAGGAGGCAGCCCTCAGCCATGGAGAAAAAGAACTGAAAGTGAACTAGGCATTAGCGACACAGCAAGCACTTCACATATTTAGCACCGCTTTATTGAGGTCTGAGCAACACAAAAAATTGCATGCTTGGGCTGGGAAGGTGGCTCAGTGGTAGAGCATTTGCCTTGCATGCTCAAGGCCCTGGGTTCGATTCCTCAGCACCACATAAGCAAAAAGAAAAAAAAGCCGGAAGTGGGCGCTGTGGCTCAAGTGGTAGAGCATTAGCTTTGAGCTGAAGAGCTGAGGGACAGCGCCCAGAGTTCAGGCCCCACAACCGGACCCAAAAAAAAAAAATTGCATGCTTACTTAAAGGAAAGAAACTGGTTGAATGTGGCATAAGTCTTTTACAATCAAGAAACGGACAGATTCCTCACCTCCAATGTTTCTCCTGTTCTTTCAAAATCCTCCCTCCAGGCTGGGAAGGTGGCTCAGTGGTAGAGTGCTCACCTAGCATGCATGAAGCCCTGGGTTCCATCCCTCAGTACCGCATACACAGAAAAAGCCAGAAGTAGTGCTGTGGCTCAAGTGGTAGAGTGCTAGCCTTGAGCAAAAGAAGCGCAGGGACAGCGCCTAGGCCCTGACTTCAAGCCTCAGGACTGGAAAAAAAAAATCCTCCCTTGACCCCTTCCAAGGATACTCATGATTGCTTGCTGTTGCTCCACATTGGTTTGCATTTTCTAGATTTCACTATAACTGGAACCATAGGGTTTGTGGCCTTCGTTATATCTTTTTCACTCAATGTAATTATTCTGAGATTTATATTATCAATGGTTCATTCCTCTTTATCGCTGGGTAGTCATCCACTGTATAGACAGACCAGTCACCTGACTGCTATCCAGTGACCTGTTGATGGATGGGATCCATTCTTTCCAAGGTGGGGTTAAAAAGCTGCAATGGTGCCGGGTGCCAGTGGCTCACGCCTGTCATCCTAGCTATTCAGGAGGCTGAGATCTGAGGATCGAGGTTCAAAGCCAGCCTGGGCAGGAAAGACTGCAAGACTCCTATCTCCAATAAACCACTAGAACCAGAAGTGGCTCTGTAACTCAAGTGGTAGAGCGCTCGCCTTGAGCTGAAGAGCTGAGGAACAGCACCCAGGCCCAGAGTTCAAGACCCATGACCGGGGGGAAAAAAAAAGTTGCAATGGTTTGTGTACATGTCAATTTACAGACACAGCTTTTAATTCTCAAATAAATGCCCAGGAATGGAAATGGTTGGGCCATATGGTGGAAGCTGTCCAACTTTTCTATCATTTGATATTCTCATCAACAGAGTATAGAAGCTCCAATCATTCCCAATCCTCACCAAAACTTCATATCATGTCTTTTTTTTTTTAATGCTGCTGGGGATGGTACCCAAGGCCAGGAGCAAGGCTTGTCAAGAACTCTACCCATGAACCCCACTCCTAACCCCATTAGTAATTCTAACATATGTGCAGTAGGATCCCACTACTTTTTAGGGGGGAGGTAGGGATAACAGGGCTTGAACTTTAGGTCCTCAACCACTTGCTGGAACTTTTTTGCTCACAACTGACACTCTATCATTTGAGCCACACCTCTGGTTGGTATTTTTGCTTATTATTTGGAGATAAGCGTCTTGAGGACTTTTCTGCTCAGACTGGCTCCAAACATCAATACTCAAATCTCAGCTTCCTGACTAGCTAGGGTTACAGACATGAATCATGTTTTCCTAATGATTAATGATATTAAGGATAGTTCTTTGCTGTGTTTTTTGATGAAGTATCCATTTGAATCACTTGTTCATCTATTGTAAGTTTTGTTTGGTTGTTAGTCATTTATGCATGGTAGAAATAAATCCTTTCATCATATACATGATGTGCAAGTATTTTCTCTTCCCATTTACGTGTCTTTCAAGTAGTAGTTTGTTGTTGTTGTTTTGGGGTTGTTGTGTTATTGTTTTTGCGGTTGTTGTTTTGATAGTAGTAGGGTTTAGTGTCATGGCGTGCGCTCAGCTGTGGGACACACATGTGATTGCAGCAGGGAGATGTTTCAACTTCTCAGTGCTTTTTCCTTTAAGACAGGGTCTCATGTCCACACTGGCCTCAAACTTTCAATTCTCCTGCCTCAGCTTCCCAAGTTATAAGGTTCCAGGCATCTACTACCACATCATTAAATTCTAATCTACAGACTTGCTAAGCACACAGATCATGAGTGTGTAGCTCTCAGAACTAACACAAAGTATGAGGAGAGGGGACTGGTGGGGGCAGGGTAGGGAGGACATGTGAAGGGCCTCAGGCCCCTTGGGCTGGGTACTGCAGTGTGCTCCCTCTGGCAGCTGGCTTGCTAGATCCATCCCCAAGGCCATCATCTCTCAAGGGTCTGGGAAGACCAGATCAGACCCTGATAACTCGGGGTCTGGGTTTGGGATCTGTTGCACCTTCCATAGTCCCCGGGAGCCCTCAGCAAAAGGCCTGTCCCATTTAATCTTGGTCCGTTTCTGATGTGCAAAGATCCCTTTCCTCTTAGCTGCTTAATCTAACATTGAGAATGTCCACCAAGACAGGCGACACCCTGGGGAACCTTGGACTTGGGCCCCCAGCTCAGGAAGCTCTGCAGCTGTCACTCCCAGCTCCTTTTTTCAACATCAAGGGTGTAGTGGAGGGGGGGGGCGGGCGGGAGGAGGGCAGCTTGCAGAGTTCATTCCTGGGTACAGCTGTTGGATTTAGGGCCCATCCTGCCCCTAGCCCTCAGTCCTACCCTCTCCTATGGGTAAGCACACGTTCGTGTCAATCAATGAAGAAACTGCAATTCAGCAAGGCGAGAGAAGAGAGGGAATAGGGTAGAGGGGAGTATGAACCGCACCCCCACCCAAATGTGCAGGAGCAAGGAGGGCAATTCAAGTCCAAGAGAGTAAAAAAGACAAGTGCAGTACAGCCACCAGCCATGCTGATAGCGGAGGAAGAGGAGGATGGGCCTGGCTGAGGCCAGGGCCCGCGACATCTAAGCGTAAGGACAGCACCGGCAGCCAGCACCAGGAGGCTACTTGAGGATTTGCCTGTGATCTCTATACTGGTCTGAAGCCAGTTAGTCATCACGAAGGAGGCCAAGGTCACCAAAGGTCCCCCTTCTTCCACTACTCAGAGCTTCAAACCTCTAACACACAGGGCTGGGGCACTGCCCGGCCGCATCACCAAAGACGACCTAAGTCATGGCATAGAGGGTGTGTGTTTATATCATCCCACACTAGACCGGAAGAGAACAGACAGGGGGGCGGGGGAAGAAGAACTGGAGGTAGAAGAAAAAAAGGACAGGCACACAAAACAGAAAAACCATTAGTAAAGTTAGGGGGAAAACGTATATATTTAAGTACCTCACATGGCTGTAACTTGACTACTGATCCCAATGTGATGTCCTTAAAATAAGAACAGACCAAATGCTCGGGAGAAGTGAAATTATCTCTGCTGCTGAGGCTTGACAAGAATTTCTTCTGAGAATCCTTGTGAAGGCGACAAAGGGTAATGTAATCATTGCTGACAACATTCTTAGAGTAGAGAGAACACACTTCCCATGAAGCTGATGCCTAATAGAGACCCTAAAAATAGGATCAGAGAGGTCACCAGGAACCAAGAACATCCAATTCCCCCTCCCAAAGAAACAGCCACCAAAATGGTGGCCAATCACTCACACTTAGAATGAACCTCCACTTTGTATCATGCAGGCAGAAGAGAAAACTGACACAATCCACTTGAGGGACAGCATGTACTAAAATGTAGTACAACAGTCCTAAGTTAGAAACAACCTAAATGCTCATTGCAAGGTGAGTGGATAAACCGTGGAATATCCACACATGGAGTAGTACTCAGCAAGAAAAATGCACAAACTGCCGATAGAACAAACACATCAACTACTCTGACATAGGTTGCTGAGGCAAAAAAGATAGACAAGGGCTGGGAAGGTGGCTCAGTGGTAGAGCGCTTGCCTTGCATGCATGAGGCCTTGGGTTTGATTCCTCAGCACCACATAAGCTAAAAGAAAAAAGCTGGAAGTGGCGCTGTGGCTCAAGTGGTGAAGCGCTAGCCTTGAGCTGAAGAGCTGAGGGACAGCGTCCAGGCCCAGAGTTCAGGCCCCACGACCGACCAAAAAAAAAAAAAAAAAGATAGACAAAAGAAATAGATGCTCTTATGATTTACATGAAATTCTAAATTGGATAAAATGAGTCACGGTGACAGAAATGAGAACTACTATGAGAGTCAAATGTCCACTTTCCAGAAAGTTTGGAATCATCACCACCATCATCATCTGGCAACAAGTACTTATAAGGATGCTACCCAGCAGGAACACTCTTACATTATAGGTACCGAACAACATACCAACACGGGTCACTGAGTGTAGTCGGTAAAAATGTGAACAAGTCCCATGGATGGCAGGAGCCATTTGGCTCTAGGAAAAGAATGTTGAAACAGACACCTCTCCTAGACCCACCCTAGGAGACTCGTGAGTTCTAGCTCCTCCCTAGTACCTCCCACGGCCACTACTCCTTGGTATAATGAATGGTCAGTTTTCTGGGGCAGAAAAACTACAAGCTAGTTCTAACCAAACTGAGGCAAGGCACCTGCATAGTGGAATCTCTTGAGTGCTTGGCCTGACCTTTTTTCAACAAACTCTTAAGACTTTATGCATATGAATCGCATCTCATACATATACTTAAAGCCAAGGGTAGTGGCCTTGTACATGGGACAGAACCTGTCAAGATCCCTCATTTAAGATCAACCCATTAGTAGCACCATGAACCCTTCCCACACTCCAAATCCTAGAAAAGTTAATTCATTTTATTTTTTTGTCTGTCATTGGGCCTGAACTCTGGGACACTGTCCCTCAGCTCTTCAGCTCAAGGGTAGCACTCTACCACTTGAGCCACAGCACCTCTTCTGGCTTTTTCTGCTTATGCGGTGCTGAGGAATTGAACCCAGGGCCTCATGCATGCAAAGCAAGCACTCTACCACTGAGCCACCTTCCCACCACTGAAAAATTAAATTCTTAATCATGTTTGCTCTTGAGTCACCTAGCTCAGATCTGCTGTTTCTCTTAATGGAGTACTTCTTTCTCTTTATTAAACTCTGCTTTGCCACTTTATGTAGCAATTCTTCTTTAGAGACACGAATCTGGGATGACCCAGCAGTAACAATATAATCTACCTAGTTTTTTTTTTTTTTGGGGGGGGGAGGGTCCGGTCGTGGGGCCTGAACTCTGGGCCTGGGCGCTGTCCCTCAGCTCTTCAGCTCAGGGCTAGTGCCACTTCCGGCTTTTTTTTTTTTTTTTTGCTTTTTGCTCATGTGGTGCTGAGGAATCAAACCCAGGGCCTCAGGCATGCAAGGCAAGCGCTCTACCACTGAGCCACCTTCCCAGCCCTCTACCTAGTTTTTACATTGCACTACAGTTATGCAGAAGGTTAGCATTCGGGTGGGGTGGAGAGTCCGAGCGGCGTGCACAGGATCTCCCTGCATTATTGCAAAATGTAAAAAGTTATTTAAGCTGGGCATGGGTGGCTTATGCCTGTCATCCTAGCTACTCAGGAGGCCGAGATCTGAGAACTGCAGTTCAAAGCCAGCCCGGGCAAGAAAGTCCATGAGACTCTTCCATTAACCACCAGAAAACCGGAAGTGGCGCTGTGGCTCAAGTGGTAGAGCGCTCGCCTTAGTTGAAGAGCGGAGGGCCAGCGCCCAGGCCCCGGGTTCGGGCCCCACGACCGACCCTCCGCCCGCGGTGTACACGGTGGAAAACGACGCGTGTGCCTGGCGGAAGTGGGGGGACGTGTCACTGCCTGCCTTCAGAAGGGGCCCCCTCGGACGGCACCCCAACAAGAGCAAGACTATGAACGCGTCTGAACGCAAAGCGCGGGCCGGGCCGGGCCGGGGTTCGAGCCGCGCGGACGCCCTCGGCCTCCCGCCGCGGCGGGGCTTCCGGGACGCGCGAGGCCGCCGCCCGCTGACACGCGGCGGAGCCCGTGTCTCCCGGGGACGGGGACAACCGGACGAGGCTCCAGTCACACCTGAGCGCGGCCCGCGGGGCGGGGCGGGGCGGGGCGGGGCGGGGCGGGAGCCGGCGCGGCGCGCGCGCGCGGCGTCCTCGCGTCACTCAGCGTGCTGTGCCGGCTACAGGTTAGAAGACAACTCAGGCGGGAGCTCCAGCAAGACGCCAAGGAGCATGCGCGCCGACGAGAGGGCGGGGCCGTTCCGGGAAGGGCGGGGCCTCGAGCGAGTCCCTGACTTCCGCTGCCTGCGGTGGAGACCGCCTACCCATCGCTCGGCTCGCAGTCACTGTTCTAGGAAGTGGGGGGGGAAGGGAAGGACTTCCATAGTCCCACCCTAATCCGCGCCTCTGGCCTATGGGAATGGAGCAGCCCTTCAAGACCGGAAGTGAAGCCACAGTTCGAAGCCAGGAGTCCTGGGCCCGCAGCGCCCTCTGCTGGCCTCCTGGTAAGCTGCAGGGAACCCATCAGGCCGGCCTGCCATTTCACCGGCGGCCTAACATGACACTTGGAAGGGGCGAAAACTATGCCGGTGGGCTGGGGTGACCACAAAGGAACCTGGAGTTGCTTTGAGAACGGAGGGAGAATTAATTGATCATCTTGAGTGCGGTGGTGACTTCCCATGTCAATCTCCCCAAAACGTGGATTTCACTGAATAGAATGATTCATCTTTTTCAATACTTTGAAAGGAATTAAGAATTATTGGTGGGAACAACAGGAGGAATGAGGAATACACAATACTAATAAGTGGCAAAGCCCAGGACCCAAGAACACGTGTGTTCTGGCCTTAAGAAGCAGTGGCTTACTTGGTCATGCTCTACTGCTCAAGTTAGAACATCTTGAGCCACAAAGCCCTGAGTTAAAACCCCGGAGCTGAAGAACAAGGAGGAGGAAGAGGAGGAGTAATTTGAACCCAGAGAGATCAATCAGTAGAGCATCTGACTTTGGGCCAAGCACAGGTAGTTCACTCCTGTAATCCTAGTTACTCAGGAGGCTGAGATCTAAGGGTCATGGTTCAAAGTCAGACTCCTATCTCCAATTAACTACAAAAAAGCAGTAAATAGAGCTGTGACTCAAGTGGTAGAGTGTTAGCCTTGAGCAGAAAAGCTCAGGGACACGGGCTGGGAAGGTGGCTCAGTGGTAGAGCGCTTGCCTTGCATGCATGAGGCCCTGGGTTCGATTCCTCAGCACCACATAAGCAAAAAGAAAAAAGCCGGAAGTGGCGCTGTGGCTCAAGTGGTAGAGCACTAGCCTAGAGCTGAAGAGCTTAGGGACAGTGCTCAAGCCCAGAGTTCAGGCCCCATGACCGGACCCAAAAAAAAAAAAAAGAAAAGCTCAGGGACAGTGCCCAGGCCATGAGTTCAAGCCCCAGGACCAGAACACACAAGTTAGGGACCACTCCTCACACCCTGAGTGTAAACTATCTTCTCGTGTTTGCAGATAACCTAGAGAAATCTCAGTGAATTTCAGGATATCAGTCTCTCCTCACAAACTCGCACCACAAATCAGGAGTCTTCACATTGTCCCCTTGAGGTTTGGGGTCCAAAAAGCACCCTTTTAGTCTAAACCAGATAGCCTTGCCAAAGTTCTCCAGAGGGCACACTCACAAGAGACACAGAATCTTAAAAAACAAAGTACAAACTTTATTTTGTTTCTTTACAAAGGCACCGTGGCCTCTTGGATTTCCACCCCCCCACCCAGTTAACAAAATATAATAGCTTCTCCTTGGACACAGAGTTCAAAATTATATATAAAAAAAAACAGAAACCAAAACTAAAATAAAACCAACAACAAACAAACAAGAGAAAGAGAGAGAGAAAGACAAAGACATTTTTGGGGTCAAAGATGGGAACCCTGGAGGGAGAGGTGGGGGGAGGAGAGTGGCGAGTCCCGGTGCTGAGATGGGGAGGGGGAGAATGGCAGCAGCAAACCCCAACCGAGAAGCAAGAAGACCCCCAGACCCCAGAAAGCCCTGACCCCGCCTGACCCCAACCCACATAAGTGCTTAAGAAGAAAGAAGAAAACCAAACAGAGGAGGGAAAGAGTCGAGGCGGCCGGTCCTGGGGCTGGCTCTGGGGCGGGAGGAAATACTTGGGGTTTTGTTTGATTTTCCCTGTTCTTAAAAACATGTTTAAATGACAAAAAAAAAAAAAAAAAAAGCTTTTTTTTGGCAGAGAGAGGACGGGCACCTCAGCGCCCAGCTTCTCCAGCCCCCCTGGCTGACACCCAGCCCTGGGGTCCCGATGCTCCCACACTGTGTCACCCCAGCCCCGGGACCTGGGCTGGGGTGGCTTTGTTTAAAAGTTGATTTACAGTATTGAAAAAGAGGTCATAAAAGAGACCCAAATGACATCGTCAATTTTGTAAAAATTTCTCACTCATTCACCCACATGTCTCCCTGGCGCTGCCCCCGGCCCCCTCCAGCCCCCAGAAGGGAGAGGAGGGCTGGGGGGGGTGGTCAGGGAAGCCCACCGTCCCCCAGCGGCTCCTCCCGGCCCTGGTCCATGGCCTCGCTGTCTGAAGCCTCCGAGTCAGAGGCAGTGTCGGAGGTGTGGGGCTCCGGGCAGCTGCGGACCGGCTTGATTATGACCGCTCGCCGCTGCTCCTCCTCCAGCTCCTGCTTGTCCTGGGTGCCCTCAATGTGCTGGATCGCCTGGATGGGGACAGGCCACTGAGGGGGCTGCGCTGGGGACACCCGCCAGCTGGTATTCCCCTCCAAAAACATCCCACCCAGAACTATCCAGAAACAAGCCTGACAAAGGGGGAGAGGGCATGCCACGCCTCGGCTGAGTTCAAGACTCCCTTCCACGAAACCCACAGTCCCAGAGCTGCCTGGAACTGATGACACACGCACGGTTACACATCTGTCTGTGGACGGACTGAAGACCTTCTTATTAACTCTATTATTGGATTGATGTTTGGGCTTTTACTAGTTGTTTCTGTGCTGGCCCTGGGGATCGAACCCAGGGCCTCCTGCACACCAGGCACGTGCTTCAACCCCTTGGGCCACACATCCTCAGAAATTTTGTTTGTTTTTTTTTGTTTGTTTGTTTGGTGTTTTGTGCTGCTGCTGGGGCTTAGACTCAGGACCGCAAGCTCTCCATCGTGGCTGGTGCGCCACCACTGAAGCCATGCTTCCATTCAACCCAGGATGAGTACTGGTTAACTGCAGATGGATTCTCATGGACTTTTCTGCCCTGGACTGCCTTCAAACCAAGATCCTCCAGGTTTCAGCCTCCTGAGTAACTAGGATTGTAGGCATGAGCTACCAGAGCCTGGCTTAGCGTTTTTTGTTGTTGTTGTTTTGCTTTGTTTTTAATTATTTTTTTGTTGGTCAGAGGGCTTGAACTCTAGGCCTGGGCACTGTCCCTCAGCTCAAGGCAAGCACTTTACTAGTTGACCCACAGTGCCACTTGGGGTTTTCTGGTGGTTTATTGGAGGTAAGAGTCTCACAGACCTTCTTGCCCAGGCTGGCTTTAAACTGCAATCCTCAGATCTCAGCCTCCTGAGTCGCTAGGCTTACAGGCGTGAGCTACGGGCACCTGGCTGGAGTTTTATTTTTTGTTTTTGAGATAGTGCTGTGCTGACTTTGAGCAAGCTGGACTCAAACTTTTCATTCTCTTATCTCTACCTCCCAAATAGCTGGAATTACAGATATGCGCTACCAAACCCAGGATGAATTACATTGCTCTGTTACTGTTGATGGCAATGGAGGGGTAGTCACCATCTACCCACTCACTGCCACCGCAGTCCCATCCTGAGTTCTGGAAATGAAGGTGAGAGAACATTCCAGTACAGATCATGCCAACAGCTGGGCCCTGGCTGTAATCAGAAGGCTCTAGGAACCAAGGAGCCTCTTAGGTTCTTTTTTCAAGCCACCTGCCTCTCTGTCCCAACAGACACAGGGAAGGAGACCCGGGCGGGCTCCCTCTCACAAGCGCCCTCCCCCCCACCCCCGCCATCTTGCTCCTCCCCCATCCTCATTTTCTCACCTCTACAACCCATACGCCACCCTTTCCCAGAGCCCAGGTACCTGCACAATGGTGTCCAGATTCTGGCGGGATGTGGAAACAGAGTTGGTGACGGAGGAGGGCCCCATGGTGACGACGTTGACATGGTGGGGTGGGGGTGGGGCTGGCGCAGGCACGATCACCGTGGGGTGGTGGGTGGGGGCCGGAGGGGGCAGGAGCTGCAAGACGCACGTCCTCAGCCTTCCGCTTTCTACCGTCTTCCCGTGTTAGAAAGGTGCAAAAGGTAGGGACTACTGGGAGGTCTCTGTGGGGGGCAGGACCCCGGCCTGTCTCTTCTCTCTCTCTTTGGCAAATGGTTTCGATCTATCACACACTCCCACCATGATACGGTGCCTCACCAAAGAATCAATGCATAACAGGCTGCAGTGTTCAAAACTGAGCTACGATAGCCTTCCCCTCTTTGCAGTGTGATCAACTCAGGTGTGTGCTATAGTGGCAGAAAGCTGACAGACACAAGGGGCAAGGAGGCAGTTTACAACCCAGACCCACACTTCTGATATTGCAAACTGGGGAAATGGCAGCCTAGACACTGGCTTTCGGCCTTCCCTAGACCCAAGACCCTTCAGTTTTCTGAGTCAAGCGGCAGCTTAATAATCTGATACAACACTGCTTGTGAGTGGACACTCTGGGAGAGGCGCTTGCCTGACAAGCACAGGGCTCCAATCTACCTTTAATCCCCATCAACACACATTCACACAGAAAAAGCATCAACTCTGGATTTGCTTTTTGTTGTTGTTTTCTTTGCCAGTCCTGGAGCTTGAACTCAGGGCCTGGGCGCTGTCCCTGAGCTTGTTTTGCTCAAAGCTAGCGCTCTACCACTTAACCACAGTGCCACTTCTGGCTTTTCCTGTGTACGTGGTACTGAGGAATCGAACCAGGGCTTGATGCATGCTAGGCAAGCACTCTACCACTAAGCCACAGTCCCGGCCCGTCAACTCTGGATTTAAGACAGCCGGGATCTACCCCTCTGCTCCCAGTCACTTGACACCCTAGACATATTATTGGACCTTTCTGTGCCTCCATTTTCCCATCAGGAAAACAGGAGTGTCACAGCTCAGGAAGATTCCATATATTAACAGATACATATCTGAGACACCCAGAAGCCGGCCGGGATCGGCTCAGCAAACGCCTGAATTGTTCTGAGTTAGGCCCTATCTGCCCTCAAGGCACCAGCGTGCAACCCCACGGCGCCCCTCCCGGGCCCTCCCGCTCACCTGGGTCCGCAGGTGCTGCTGTTCCCGCTCCAGCTTCTCCTGGTGCAGCAGCCGCACCTGCTCCTGCTGCTGCTGCAGCTGCACCTGTTGCGCAATCACCTTGAGCTTTTCCGGGTACATGTGGGCCTCCAGCGAGCGCACCTGCAGTGGAGAAACAGTGCTCAGAGGCTGCTCCACCAGCGACAAGGCGGGCACTCAGGAAAACCTCAGCTGTTCCCTGTGCCTGGGCCCTACTCCCCCTTCTTTTTTTTTTTTTTTGGTCAGTTGTGGGGCTTGAACTCTGGGCCTGAGCACTGTCCCTCAGATCTTCAGTTCAAGGCTAGCGCCCTACCGCTTGAGCTACAGCGCTACTTCCGGTTTTCTAGTGGTTTATTGGAGATAGGAGTCTCACAGACTTTCCTGCCCGGGCTGGCTTTGAACTGTGATCCTCAGATATCAGCTTCCTCAGTAGTTAGTACTATAGGCATGAGCCACCGGCGCCTGGTTCCCCCGCTTCTTTGCCTGGCTAGCCCCTCTCCTCGAAGCAGCAGTGGGGCAGCCCCTGGAGAATCAAGGCCCTTCTGAGGCACAGTTCCTACGGTCTTATCTCAGGTGCTTTACTTTTTATGCTACATGCTAGAGACTGAACCCAGCTCTTTCCATGCTAAGAGTATACTTTACCACCAAACTACACCCCAGCCCTCCACTGCTTTCTAGTTTCCATGTAAGCCAGGGACTCCTGATGTAGTCCAGGCTGTTCTGGAACTCACTATGTAGCTCGGTTGTCCTCAACTCCTGATCTTCTGGCCTTAGCCCTCCCAAGTGCTAGGATTACAGGTAATCCCCACCCCTTTTATTCCAGTAAGAAGCCTCTGACATATAAAGGGTGACCCTGGAGAGCAGGGCGTCGGCTTACTCTCCCCTCCCTGCTGTACGGTACACACTTATGGTTATGCCCACTGAAGGCAAGCATGGGTCAGAGAAGGCAGAGAACAATCGATCCGCCGCCATCCATGCCCGCCCCCGGCCGGCAGAGGGCGCCGGCGCTGCCTCGCCCGCTCCTCCACAGCCCGCCACGCCGGGCCCCGGCCGACAGAGGGCGCTGCCTCACCTGCTCCTCCAGCATCATGCGCACGGAGCGCTCCTTGTCCAGCTGCTGCCGCAGTTCGATCATCTCCCTGCGCAGGTCCTCGGCTTTCTCGTCCTCCCAGATGTCGGGGGAACCGATGCCCTCATCTTTGTCTTCTGCCCGCCGCCGCTTGGGGGATGAGCCGCTCAGCTCCTGGGGACCCCAAGGAATTGGTGAAGTGTGCTGACTGACACACCCATACCCCCACTCTACCTCGCTTGACAGACAGAGAAACTGAGGCCCCCGCAGAAAGGCAAGTGCTCAGGCAGTAGGGTCAGGGGGCAAGACAGGCCCAGCAGCATCCAAAACGCATCCCAGCCCAAGGGTTGGATGGGGGCACGCAGCCATGCAGAGAGGGCCGGGCCCTGAAGGGAGGAGCCCTCGGTGGCTACCTGGATGAAACGCTTGAGCTGTGTGTTCTGCTGCAGGAGCCTGGTCTTCTCCTGCTCCAAGGAGAAAATGTACTCGGCTGTCTGCTGGAGAATGGCTGCCTGAGGGCAGGAAGGAGAGAGTCAAGCTGGCTGGAGGGGTTTACCCCAAGCTCACCTGCTGCCTACCAGAGACCAGCTGCTCCCTGAGGCCCTTCCCGGCCCCGCCGCCCACCTTGCTGAGCTTCTCTCCGTCTGTGTGGGGAATGAGGGTCTTGAGGGACTGGAAGCCCGCATTGATGCTCTGCATGCGCCTCCGCTCGTTGCTGTTGGCGATCTCCCGGCGAATCCTCCGCTCCTGGTCCCGCTGGGTCTCGGGGGTCAGTGGAATGTTGGCAAGGCTGCGAGGGAACACAGGGACAGGCTTGCCGTAGGTGTCTCCTGAACCCCGCTCCCAGTGAGCCCATGTCTCCACAATTGGTCTGCAGAGGCCCCTAAGTGTAACTTGCGCCCCCTCCCTTCCTGCCACGCACACCAGGCCAGCCGATGCCTACACCCTGCAAATCACTCAAAGAGCAGCCAGGCGCCCTGGCTCATGCCTGGAATCCCATTTACTCCGGAGACTGAGACTGAAGGGTTAGGGTTCAATGCCAGCTGGGACAGCAAAAAGTCCATGAGATTCTTATCTCCAGTTCATCACCAAAAAGCCAAATGTGGAGGTATGGCTTAAGTGGTACAGAGCCAGCTTTAAGAAAAGAAAAAAGATGGGCTGGGAAGGTAGCTCAGCGGTAGAGTGCATGCCTTGCAAGCATGAGGCCCTGGGTTCGATTCCTCAGCACCACATAAACAGAAAAAGCCAGAAGTGGCGCTGTGACTCCAGTGGTAGAGCGCTAGCCTTGAGCTGAAGAGCTGAGGGACAGCGCCCAGACCCAGAGTTCAGGCCCCATGACCGGCAAAAAAAAAAAAAAAAAAAAGAAAAGAAAAAAGAGGAAGTGGCGCTGTGGCTCAAGCGGTAGAACGCTCGCCTTGAGCTGAAGAGTGCAGGGACAGCGCGCAGGCCCAGAATTCAAGCCCCACTACCTACCAAAAAAAAGAAAAGAAAAAAGAAACAACAACAAAGAGTGAGACGCCGAGTTGAAGCCCCAGTCCTAGTGCATGCACACGCACACGCACGCGCGCACGCGCACACACACACACACAGCTCAAGGGCGATGGAAGGATGCCCCTAGGATGCCCACTAGGCCAGATCAGCTGGTTGTAGAAAAGAGAAGCCAGCGTAGCAAGCTGGGCAGTGTGTTGGAGAACCCACAGGGCTCCCTGGCTTGCTTCCTTCTTGTAGAAAGGCTTCTCTGAAATAAGGGTTCCGGAGCTCCGCCTGGGCAGCAACATCCAAAGGCTAATGACCAGGCGAGTCCTCACGGCAAGCCCAGCATCTGCCTGGCAGGACTGGAAAGCTGAGTGTCTGTCTAAGCCCTGCGATTCTGCTGCAGACAGACCCGGGGCCACATTGGAGCCCTCTGCTCCTTGGACGCTTCTGAGCTGCTGGCAGCACCTCGACCCCCTCTCCTTCAGGATCTCAGCCTTGGCCGCCACATTCTGAGATGTCCCCGCACAGCCCCGCAGAGCTGTGGCTCCAGCCACAAGCCTCTGGTCTCCCCCACACTCCCCCCTCGTGCCCACCACAGACACCACCAACTACCACATCCCGCCCCCCAAGACTACAGAGAAGACAAGGCAGACATCACTCCACAGAGAAGACACCTGGCCAACAGCCCCCCACCCACCCACCCCAAGAGGCAGACCTGCTCTGTGCCTGAGAAGTGAGACTCCCAGAATGCAGTGGGCCGTGTTAGTGCTTGTTGCAGGAGCCCTGGGGTGAGAGAAGAGGCAGCCAGGGATGGATGGGGGCGACGGGGAGCGCAAGGCGTTGGCGGGAGGCAAGACACCAGCACAGCCCGTGGGCCCAACGCCACTGCTCCCGCGGGGTGGGCTGTGTGTGGCCTGGAGAAGGCATGCCCCACTTCCCAGCCTCCCTCGCAACTCCCCCCACCCTTGGCCTGATGGCTTCCAGATGCTGGCTCCCAGCAGAGGCCGCCAGCCCCACCCAAAACCACAGCCTGGCCTCTTCCTGAGGGGCCCTCCTCGGGAGACCTGCTCACCACTTGCCAGCCACGGCCGCTCAGGCCCTGAGCCCTGTGGATTGAGGAAAGGCCTCTGGGCAGCCCTCATCTCATTTGACAGGGTCAAGAGAGGTACCTGGTCTGCGTCCCTTGCTGTGACTTGGGCCCTGTCCGGACCCCAGGGGGGAAGGAGCTCACAGCGGCCCAGGAGCAGCACACACATGCCACAGCTGGAAGCCCTGAGGCCCGTCCTGCCCCACCCAGCCTCCCCGGGGACCCTGGCCGCCTCCCTGCCCCTTTCCCCGGCCTCCTGGGCTTCCTCGCCGATGGAGCGAGGATGGCTCCCAGTGAGTGTTCCGGGTCCACAGGGAAAACAGCCCCCTCCTGCCTCCCCACGCCAGACCCCAACTTCACCAGGGACCACAGACCCAGACCCCAACCTACCAGCCCTGCCTGGCTCCCTCCCCTCCCACGTACAGTCCCTGGAGGGGGGGAAAGGGGGGGCTTCACAGAGAATGTGAGCGCCAGGAAGGGGCCCAGGTCCCCTACTTTACAGACAAGGCTGAAGGCTCCCCTTCACTTAAGAGCTAGCTCGGACAGCTGGACATCCAGCTCACCAGCCTCAGGCTGGGGGGCCTCTCTTCTCCCACCCCCCTACCCTGGCAGGGAGAATGACAGTTTCTGGAAGGAGAGACGCTGACCCTGGACCGTCCACCCTGGGAGCCTGGCCCTGCCCCCCCCCACCTCCCCATGCAGGTCAGGAGACCCGGACGCACGGGTTGCTCTTCTCTGCAGTGCCAGTTGTCTCAGGAAGCCAAGCTGCGGGGGTGACCCAGAGCTGCCAGGGAGCAGCCCGTCCCCCCTCAGGAGAGATGTGGAGAGGCACCTATGGGTGAGGCTCACAGGCAGAGCCGATCCCGGGCTGAGTTCGAAAAGGAGCCCTGGCTGGGGACATGCCTCAAGTGGTAGAACACATCCCCAGTATGGAGGAGGGGTGGGGGGAGGGGCAGCCCGGGTCAGTCATCAGGTCACCCTGAGAATCAGCTCATGTGGCAGGCCTAACTCCCCCCCCCCGCCAAAAAAAGGGCTGTATTTATTCTTCATATGTGTTGCGCTCACTTTGCTAGAATCTTCTCACTGAATTGTCACAATCTTTCCTCCCCCTCCCCCATCAGGTCGCCTTATAATTCCCATGCAAAGGCAGCAGAGGCTCCGGAAGAGACCGGAAGGGACCAGCGGCAGCAATGGCCTCGGAACCCCAGAGCAGGGGTCAGGCCACAGGGAAGAGCAGGAGGCAAATGCTCCCCGCAGCAGTGCCAGGCGCCCTGAGCCCAGTCACTGTGTTGCCTCTTAATACCCACAGAGTCAGTGTGCCCATAATCCCAGTTAATCTGAGGACTGGAGTTCGAAGCTGGCCTGAACAGGAAAGTCCAGAAGACTCTTTATCTCTGAACACCAAAACTTGTGGCTCAAGTCTGGTAGAGGCTCAACAGACTTGAACAAGAAAGCTAAGCATTAGAGCGCAGGCCCTGAGTTCAATCCCCAGTACCCTCATAAAAAAATGGGGGGGGGATATTCACAGACTTTCCCTGGAGCGCAGAGGGGCAGCTGCCCGAAGGAGACTGCAGGGCCCCAGCCTGGAATGCCTCCGCCTCCGAGTTCCCAGAAAGAAAAGGCCCAGCCCAGGAGCAGGGCTCTACCTCAGCTCCTCAGAAGCCAGAATGCTCTCTTACCCTTCCCCTCCAAACCCATCGGCGAGGCCTTCAGGCTGGGAACCAGATGCTAGACTTAACTCTGAGACGTTTTCCCTCACAAGACTTGGATTTGCCACTAAGAACCAGCAATGATAACCCACCTAAAGAGCTGCCAGATTGTTTGAGGCTATTTGCAAGGGAACCTCTGATTGGTGGAATTCAGGCCAACTGGGGGCTGATTGGTGGGATTCAGGCTAACCAGGGGCTCTGATTGGCAGAATGTAGACTAACCAGAGGCGCCAAGTGGTGAGCTACAGGACAGCTAGGGGTCCTGCATGCTGCAGGACCCAAGGTTCCATTGATAAAGGGTGACACTGCACCGGAGACAGTGGTCTTTCTACATATGCCTGCGAGTTACTTATACTTCTGAGTTTTGCAGACGTGAACTCCACTCCCAAGTATTTAGCCACGTGGTTAAAAAGTCTCACCACCCCCCTGTCTAAGGGCAGACTCCCCAGGTAAGCAGTAGTAGAGACCCCTGGCAAACACAGCTCCAGTTTACCCCACCCCTCACTCACCTCCACCCCCCACTCACAGCCAGTCTTGCTGAAGCTGAGCAGGAGTTGCTGGCCTCAGGAATAAGGGAGGGCACCAGACAGTCGACAAAGAGCCAAGGAACAAAACTGGATCATTAGCATTGAATTTGGGAAAGCAGAGCTACCATCCATCCTACCAGAGGACCCCCAGATTCTGCTGGCATCCCAAGCAGATCCTCAGAAGGCAGGAAGTATAGTTTTTAGGTCTAGATCTCTGATAGTACCTGTTTCTCCTGTATCTCAAGTATCCTCCACCCTCTTCACCTGACTTGCCAGTTCCAGCCCCCAGTGCCCAGTAAGAAATCTCACTTATACCACCCTGGACCTATTCAACATCCCTGAGCCACTTAACATCCAGAGGTGGGGCATGTCCACAAGGATTCCTCCCATTTCTTCCAGAAAGGGGGGGAAGAACTCCCCCAGTGACATTCATCCCTCCTACATGACAGGTCTCTCAGCCTCTACCCACACTCCCTCCTCCCCAACAGACCAGGGCCAGCCTGGAGTCTCAGACCACCTATCATTGCTAGTACCATCTGGCTGGTGTCTTGTAAAACACAGGGACCCAACTGAACTGGGCGCTTCCCATACCTAATCCTCACATTGAACCAAGTCTGAGGACCCTTAGGCAACAGGCCCAGATATTCGAGGTGTGACACAGCCCTGTGGCTGGCCTGGAGAGTGAGGAGAGGCAGGGAGGGCCCACTGGAGCAAAGTCCACCAGCCTGAGACAACAGAGAAAAGTGAGTCCATCCAGCCATAAAGTCCTGCCCAGCCCCCACACTCCATCCTAGAGGGGCATCCGGCTTCCCCCTGCAGCCCCAGCTGAGAAGGGGCAGACTCAGACCCCGGACTCTATGCCCAGCGCACAACTGGCAGCGGGCAGGCTGAGGGCCTGTGGGCTTGAAGGCAGGTCCTGCCACTTCAAGCGTTTAGCTGGCCAAGCTCAGTCCTTCAGGGGAGTCTGCTGGCGGCCCCCCTGAAGGAGCACCTGGGGCCTGACACCTGAGTGTGCAGGGTCAGAACCTGGACCCTCCTCTCCAGCAGGAGGAGCAACTCCAGCCCACCTCCCAACTGACCAGCCCAGCCAGGGGCAGCCAGCAGACCACAGGAAAGCAGGGCCCCAGAACCCGCAGCTCCAATCCTGGCTCCAGCACCACTGGCTGTCTAACTGATCTCTTCCCAAAGAAGTCAGAGGACAACTCGATTCACAGGAGGATTATCTAGTAACTGAGACAAATCCTGGCAGAGGACCCAGACCACATAAGGGGCTCGGGACGTTTTGTTGACGGTGATTTTGCGGACCGCTGGGCGCCCCGGGTGTGCCTGCCAGGTGCCAGGCCCACCTTCCCTCCTGACTGCGACCTAGAGGCCCGGCGGACACCTGTGCCACCACCTGCGGATCCCGCTCCGCGGCCCGGGCGC